TTCTCTTTTTTCTTAGATTGCTGATATTTTTAGTGTTTCATCTGAAAAGTTGTTCATCAAATCCAAGGTCATCTGGTGTTTGCCTCTGTAAGTTTGAACAACATTTAAAATTGAGATAAAATGCTTGCGAATAAATGAATCATTTCCCCATGGACAAATGTGTGAGGAAATTAGTGAAACATTTTAGGAAAAGGCCCTCAACATTAGAAAAAGTATAAAATATTCATACCCTGTTCACACTGACTCAGTTTCCACATTAATATGCATTCCTTATAAGTTATTATATGCATTTATCCCAGAATTTCTGCTTAAATATGCTGATTGTATTAATTATAGCCACCAAAGAGAAACACATGTGATCATGAGGTGGAGATTTGTTCAATGTGTTAATGTAAGAAATAAATTGGAATTCTAGAGAGTAGTCCAAATCTAAGATTGATATATATGTGCTATAAGGCAAAGATTCTGGATCCATTTTAATAAGTGAATATACTGGTTTGTTATGCCCACCATAGCAAAGTACCTCAACCTGGATTACATAAACAGCAGATAGTTACTGTCTCATAATTTTGGAGTCTGGTAGTCAAAGAGCAAGGCATTCGGAAGGTTGGTTCCTTCTGAGGGCTGTGAGGGAAGGATGTTTTCCTGGCCTCTCTCCTTGCCTTGTAGATGGCCATCTTCAATCCATGCATGCTCACATTGTCATCCCTCTACTCATATCTCTGTGTCCAAATTTCCCCTTTTAATAATGACTCCCATGACGTTTAGGGCCTGCATTCATAACCTCATTTTAACTTGATTGCCTCTGAAATAATCCTATCTCCAAATAATGCCACATTTTAATTTAAAGAGAATTTAACCTATGGTAGTACAAAGGCAACTGGCATATCTATATGTATATCATTACCCACGTATAGTTATCTTTATAAGCACATATAAATATATATGTAATATATGTGTATATAGATTACCACATCTGTCTTTAAAATCTTGAAATCAGCTTCTAAAATTTACACACCACATAGTTAATTGGGAAAACTTCTGAGTAAGAGGCTGAATTTTGGAGGAACTTTGCAAAGGGGAAAAATGTGATTTCTGTGTATTTTTAGAATTTTTTTGCAACAATAACATATGCAGTATTTATTTGTGAGGAAAGCATTAAAGTAAGCCTAATAAAAGAAAGAGTAGCAGTGTAGTAGTCAGATAAAGTAACAGTAAGCTGATGGAATGGAAAAATTTCCTGAAATTTACATGGCTTAACACATTTGAATTCCTATTTTAGTTGGCTAAAATAGGGTGTTATGGGCTGAATTCTATCTCTCTCTCTAAATGCATATATTCAAGTCTTAACCCTCAGTACCTCAGAATGTCACTGTATTTGGAGATAGAAACTTTGAAGAGGTAATTAAGTTAAAATTAGGTCTTATTATTAGGGTCGTATTCAATATTACTGGTGGATGTCCTCATAAGAAGAGGAGATTAGGATACAGACACACAAACCAAGGGACAGCCATATAAAAATTGAGTGAGAAGGTGGCCATTTGCAAGTCAGGGAGATGCCACAGAAGAAATTAACGGGCAAAAATCTTGTTCTTTGATTTGTAGCCTCCAGAAATGTAAGAAAATACATGGGTATCGTTTAAGTCACCCAGTCTGTGGTATGTTGTTAGGGCATAGTAAACTAATACACAGTGAGTCTTGGCTCTCATGTCACTCAGGTATCCAAGCTGCTTTCAACTTGTAGCTTTAAATCATAACAGATGTTTACTGCTGAAAATAAATGATAGCATTGGAATGATACACTGGCTTCTGTCTAACTGCAAATGAGCCAACTAGGAAGACAAGTTAGACAAGAAGAAGATTGGCAATTGTAATGTCTTGTATAAGCCATTATGGTGCGCAATTAAAAGCAACTATTATAATTTATGACAGTAAGTCTTTTAATTTCTTAGAATTGTTTATGAGAAAGCCTGCATTGCCTTGAAATTTTCCAGTTTTTTATTGCAACTACTAGGTGATTGGACGTTTCAAAGAAAGGATTAGAACAATAGGTTTTAAAATAATTCTGTGAGTCTTGGCAGGGAGGGTCAACCTTATTCCCTCAATAGCACTTTGCTACACCATCCTTTTTATAATCCATATAATTTCTTTAGGCTGAGAATCCTCCATGCCCTTTGGTGTATGGTAAATATCCTACCTTGAGAGACTCTGCTACCCTTCTTATAACTGAACATTCTTGAACAACTGCACATGTGCCTGTGGCATGCTGCAAACCAGGATTTTCCTGTGTGGCAGATACACAGACAAAGGACCATGGAAAGATGGTCAACCATTGTTTTCTTTTCTCATCAGAGCTAGCCAAGGAACCCTTGTTACCTCCTAGGCAGTACTCAGGATTTTGTTATTATTTTGTTTTTCAGAAATTCAACTCTTTGTAATTTATTTACAAAGTGATTCTCATAGCCTTATCTCATATACCAAGTTTATCAAGGAAGTTTTAGTTTTTGACCACCTAGTATAGCTCATTCATCTGTGTATCTCTTCAGTGGCCTGTTTCAAACAATGCCACTACAAATATAATATATTAAAATCCTAATACAAATATCAAACATTAGGATGATCTCAAAAACTCTCTTACCTTAGGATTACATCCCTAGTACCAGTATATTATGTGGCAGATCAGAATCTAGTCACCACTGTATGTGGGAATATTTTGAGAGTGTGTTGAAGATGCCCAGGGTAGGTATGGAAATGTCCCTATCCAAAATGAAAATGTACATCAGAGTGCTGTTATCACACAGAAGCCAGGGGGAGGGATGGATCAGTCAGGGAACTTCTGCAGGGATGAGGAGGCGTCTATGTCAGGGGAACAACTGGTGATTCTGGGTTGTTACACTGGAAGCAGGGCAAAGCCTTCACACAGAGAGATTGCAGGGACGAGCTGGTCAGCAGAACAGGCTAGAGAGTTGCTCAAGAGAGCACACAAGAGAGATCAGAAGGAGGGTGCTGTAAAGTGGAAAAGTGCTGAGGCTGGACAGAACTGCTGGCACCTGGACAGAGTCAGCTCTTGAACCTAGCATTCAGAATAGGAATAGGTAAACTAAGCCCACAGTGATCCCCAAATTGTATTTATTCTCATTGTCACCATTCTTCTCCCCACCTACCTGAACACCTTGGACACAGGGTTCATCTTTATGTCACCCGAGAGATGATAGCAAGTATGCAGACAAGTAGCTTAAAAGGCAAAGGCCTTCCTCAGTCTGGGAAGAGTGGGGATAGCATGGGTCAAGATAAATTCAGAGCAAGGCTCAAGTGCCAGTACTGTCACTTTCTAGCCATGTGGTCTTGCTGAATTTATCAAGCAAGATGAGACTTCAGGTTCTTCATCTGTAAAAGGGGTTTCATAAGCCCTGCCTTGTAGAATTGTTGGATGTTTTTGAGTAAAACACGTGGCACAGTGCCAAGCATATATTGGAATTTTAACAAATGGCAGTTATCAATATAAATATAACCCCAAGGCTACAACTGTCTTTTATGAAAAAAATTTGCTCTTGTTTTTGTGATCCAAAACATTTCAGAGCATATGTAGCTGTGTATGCCATGGAGTACCAACTCAACCAAAAATCCAGCTTCATAAATAAAACTCAGTACATTTTCTTTCTGAAATGATACATAGTATACGTTGGGTAAGTGGAAAATTCCCCAAGTGGAATGCAACTCAGTGGTCCTAGAACTTGTGTCAAGGACCAACTCCTTTTCACCTTTCCCAATGCTTGTCAATCCAAATCACTATTTGTATGTATCCTCCACTAAAAATCTATCCCTTGCTTAGAGTTGGCCACATTACATTCAAAATAACTTAGTTAAATGGCCTTTCCATGGAGGGGGCTTTGGCTCTCCCACACCAGTTAAGTGACTGCCAGCCTAGAGGCTTCTGGGCAGCACTTCAAGGGATTATCATTCTATTTCTGAGGAAACCCTTGCAGATGATGTGTATCAATCACCTAGTCCTTGCACTGTGTTCAGGCTCACCAGTACAATAGTCACAGGACCCCTTCCATTACTTCCCCATGTGGAGATTCCTCTCTGCTTCATCCTCCACCCAGAAGCAACCGTTCAGAGCAGTTTTCCGTTCCAGGCTCTTCTCCCACCCTTTGAGAGTCTGGTCCCTGCCACCATCCAGCTTCATAACTACCAGCTCCCACACGGGCAACCGCAGTTTTCCAAAGCTCCAAGCTGTCTTAGCTCAGGACCTTTATACTTGGAGGCTCGCATCTGGAGTCTAACCTCCCCAGCCCTTTCTTGTTATTTAGATTGTAGAGAACATCTTACCACCTTCTTGATATGGCTTCTGCTCCTAGATTCTACTGTTTTATGGGCAGAGATAAGTCATGCTTTTATTAGTATCGCCACTACTAACAGTTACTTCCACAAGCAAATACTAAAAGAATGTTCAGCAAATAAAGGACTCAGTGCGGCTTTCTTTTATTAAGAGTTAATTTCTGCTGCTTTCTTCAACAAGCTAAGCAAAGCCAGGTATACATCTTTAATTTTCAAGAACAAAACACCAAGTGGGACAGGGAAATGCAAATATTGACCATCCTGTATTTTGTTCCACTATTTAACTGCTGACTTATTGTACATTGTAAGAAAATGCTTATTACAATACCACTCTATATTGTTACAGATCACAGAGTAAGAGAGAAGGTATTTCCTTTATTATTATTTTTTTTTACAAAATATCAAACTGTTACTCTTAAACCAGATAAACAGCAATACATATGTGACTAATATTCATAAATCAAGATTCTAAAGCTAACTACCTGCTACTCAAAGAGAGAACATTTAAAAAGTACCAAAAAACTGGAACATCTCTACATTACCAATATGGGACTGAAATGCAAAGAACACTGTTCCTTGAGCCCAACCTGGCCCTCCACTACCTAGAAGCTTGACTGCCTTCTTCAAACCCAGAGGGAAGAAACTACCCTAGACTTCACTCAAAAGAGGAGTGGATGCTGAATGTCACTGAGGCTTTCACTGGCCTTGTCAGTGGCATCATCTTTGGTGGAAATTATAGCCTGGGCTCTCTCCCCCACATTTTTCAAAGCATCCTTGTACCAGGATGGAAAGGAATCAGGGACAGTGTTGTTCAGCTTGGCCAAAAACTCTAGTACTTTCCTCTTGCTGCTTTCTGAATGGGCTCTCGGACCCCATAGGAAGTCATAACATGGAGGAGAAGTGTTGGGCACCTCCCGGCATTCCAGGTATTGTTCCTGCACCCAAACTTTAGTGAGGAGCTCCTTGGGCTCCCCATAGATGAAGTGCTCCCTCCCGGCATACACCCCTATTGCATTCAGCACGTTCCAGATGGCCTCCTCAGAGGCACAGCCGCCCTTTATGAAGATTATACTCAGAATAAGAATCAGGAGGCTGTTCTTGGGCGTGCCCTGGTCGTCACTACTACCCTTGTCAGTGGGGTCTACTGTGTCTGCAAATGCATAGGAGTGGTCAGGGTCTACTTCTATCAGGGCAAGACCAAAAAGAAGCTCCATGAACTCACGCGCTTTCTCAAGTACTGTAGGAAAGTAGTCTTGGTAGCTGAGGACAATGATTAGCATCTCTGCCTCTGTTACAGGCTCCTTTGCTTCAAATTTGAGAAGCAGGAACTGTACTACCTCAGCCACCTTTTCATCTAGTGTATTTGTGAACAAGGACTCACTGTCTGACAGGCACTGAGAAGTACTTGTATCCTCCCCTTTCTGGCTGCTGGACTCTCCACTGACTGGGCTCCATGAAACAGAGGAGGAGGAGCTCATAGGATTCTGAGAAGGACTCTGTAGAGGACTACTGGGAGTGCTCAGGGGAAGACTTGACATCCCAGGAGACAGCTCCTCTTCCTCCTTCTCCTCCTCCTCCTCCTCCTCTTCCTCCTCCTCCTCCCCCCCCTCCACCACCTCCCCCTCTTCCAGCACCTCCCCATCCTCCATCACCTCCCCCTCCTCTCCCTCCTCCTCCTCCTCGCCCGAACCAGGAGAAGAAGATAAGGAGGGGGAAGGTGGAAATATGTAGGCATAGGAAGAGGACATGGAGGAAGCTTCCTCATCTGTGGGAATCTGTGCATCTGCCGAGTCCTCTATCACACCTGGGTTCTGGGGGTCTTCCCCATCGCTGGGGAATGGATGGGGAGACATAACTTCTTCAGGACCAGCAGGTAAACCTATCAACAGGGATATGGATGATGGGATCCAACAGACCTGTGGAAGAGAGTGACAGTGTGAGTGGCCCCAGCTGAGAAAGGCACCCATGATGGCTCTGACAAAGTCCAACTTACAGCTCTTCTTCTCTTAAGGTGGTGCTCTAGGGCCTCACAGGTTGCCTGTCTTCCTAGGGGGTTTGTCCCCTGGTAACCTGCAGGAAAATGTGAATAAGCACCTCAGGGCACAGTTGACAGGCAGAACCTGGGGCACCAGGAATGACAGTAAGTGGTTAGGGCTGGGTGCTGTGGGAGTTTCTCTGTTCCTAGTAGGTAGGGCACTTGGTACACAGGGTATGCTCTCACCTTGACTGCTGGTTTGCCTGAACCTCCTCTGCTGTGTTGACTTTTAGGAAGTGCAACTCAGACCCAGTTCGTCACCACCTGGTTCCTGGGGCACCTGCAAGAGGAATTGAGGGAGCCCCTGTGGCTAAAGACTGCAGCTGGGGCTGGCCAGATTCCTAGAGCCCCACAGTTCTGGGGTTCGTGGCCCACTCAGAATATAATTAGCATTGCCACATTTTCTCAGATCAGGCCATGTCCCTACCACTCTGCTGGCCTGAGGCAAAACCTCAGGGCAACCTCCACATCCCTGAGAGCAGAGAGAGGTAGGGAGGTGGCAGCCACGTCCCATACTCTACCACGGGGGCAGTCGGGGCAGCCTCACATCTGCCCTGATGCACATGTGACACCTCAGTCGTCATTCTTATCCCCAGCAGGGCCTGGGAATCTTCCCTCTGCCAACCGGAGGCAGCTGCCTCTGCTGACTTGCCGTGGGACCCTCAGACCAAGGCCTCCCACTCTCCTACACCCCCCACTCAGAAATGAGGGGGCAGCGGCTCAGCCTGAGCCAACTGGGGAGCTCTACCAGGGCTGATATGAGGAGCAGGGTGGGGATCTCTGGGAATATGTCCTCTGAGGTGGGGGTTTCCCTTGCTCTCCTCAAAGTCTTCCTATTTATTCCCTAGAGGGCCGGCACCTCCTCCCTCCTTCTGTCGTGGGGATGCGTCCCTCAGCTCTCGGCGGCCATTTTCCTGTCTGGGACCTACAAGTCCAGGGGCAGGGTGGGCCGGAGCTTTTTCTCTCTATGGTGGGTGGTTCCTCAGTTCTCTCTCAGGGCCCTCACCTTGAGGACTGGCCAGCTCTGAGACTCTTCCCTCCACTGACCTGAGTCAAGCCTCCTCACAAAACGCCTCGGGTTGTTCAGACTCCCAAGATGGAAGTCTGGAAAGCACATCCGGGGACCCTGCAGGGCTGACGGAAGGGGTGGCCTGGGGCGTGGGGCGTGGTCTCCTCTGGGCGTGACGTCCTCTCTGCAGAGGAACCACCCCCCCACCTCTCCACCTCTTTTCCATCACTTCCTTTCCACCTCCCAGCCACCCTTCACCCCTTCCCGCTCACGCCGTAAGACTTGCGGACCTCTTCCCTCCCACCTTCCAAGTACCAGACACCCCACCCTCCTTTTTCCAGAGGTGACAATAAGGAGTGGCTGTGTGTAGCCTGTGCATCCCATCCTTATTGGAAAGTCACTATCCTTACACAGAGTTCTGTTGTTGTTTTTTGTCCAGTCCTGGGGCTCCTACCTCTGTGTAACTGAAGCTGCCATCCTCAGAGAAAACCTCCAACTGACTCCCAAAATAGAAGTCAAAAAGTTGTACATCCGGGACCCTGATGGGCTCCTCCAGAGCTGGCAGCAGGCACAGGGACAGGGGAGGGGCGCTGCTAGCCGTGGGTGTTCCTTTCCAGCCTTTCTGAGAGGCTGTGCCTGGACTTCTGATCCTGCCTGGGGTCCCTGCCTCTGTGCATCAATCTTTCACCTCTGAATGAGCCCCTCCCATCCCTTAGACCAGCAAGGTAGAAGAGAGGGAGAATCATATCCATCCACAGTGGGATAGGGCCTCCGAAGCCCATGGCAGGGCTCCAGTGCCCTCTGTCTGAAATGGCATGGACAAGACTTTCTCTTCCTGCAGTTACTATTCCTGACAGGGCCTCGGAGTTCCTTCTCCTGCTGTCCAGAGACTATGTTCTTCAGATTAAGGTTCCCATTTCCGTGAGACCCACCCACCCCACCCCCCTCAACAAGAGGAAGTAAAGAGCACTAGCATCCCTACCTGAGGGCCCTGCCCAAGGCCTCTCAGGGATGAAAACAGGAACTGGTTTTGTGTGCCCTTCTGTTTCTTCGGAGAGATGCCTCACCAGTCCTTCCTTTGTGTCATCCTGGGGATGCCTAGAAGGGCCCAGGTCCCTTCCCCTCTCATGATCTGAATTGAGACTCACTTGAGCACAGCCCTCTCCTCTTTCTACTCTGTAAGAAGTCAGGGGATGCCACAGTGGGCCACCATGCCCCAGGGCCTCTCAGGGATGACAGCAGGTAGGAAGCTGGATTCTGTGGATCCTCCTCTTTGTGGGCAAGGAGTCTCTGCAGTTTTCCCTCAAAGGTCTCATCTCACTACTGTTTGGTCCTGGGTCTCCCTGTCCTTCCCATGATGGCAGTATGACACAGGGAAAAAAATAATGTGACTTTACCCCGAAGAAAGGAGAAAAAACACTACATTGCCATGGTGATTAAATTAACATCATCAGTGACAAATTATGTTTGTCCTACGTATGGCGGATATGGAATATTTGGGAATTTTGGCATTATCATAATAAGTTTTCCATATATCTAAAATTAACCTAAAATAGTTTTTTAAGAAAAAAATGTGATGTTAGCAAACTAGGTAAAGTTTTATTTAAATCTTAATAGCAAATATTACACTTACCTGGGAAAATTTAAAACTTCTACTTTGAAATTAGTAACTAAACAAGAATTCCTGCTATAATCAATTTCTATTCAATTGTCTAATAAAGGTAGTGGTCAGTGCAGTAATATAAAGCAGATATAAAAGCAGTAAGGATGTTAATGTAGAAAATAGTGTTTCCATGAGTAACAGATTATTAGACTGTTTATGACATAATTCAGAACTAAAGAAAAGCACCTTAATGTATAAATCAGTACATGTGGTTGCCAGGTAAAAGTTCAGTATACAGAAATAAACCTTGTTGTTTTTTTTTTTTTTTGTAGGAGCAAAGAGTATGAAAAAAATAGTAAGCAAAGTGTAACCTGTAACATATCATACCAAAATATCAATTAAAATAAATTTACCAATAAAATTTAATAACTTTACAGAAAATAATAAATGTAGCATTTAGATTGATTGATGAGCCCCTACATACATTCATACATTTTTGCTTTTTTCAATTTTAATTTATAATTTGGGGGGTGTATTATAGGTGTATTTTTTTATGGGTTACATGAGATGTTTTGATACAGGCATGAAATACATAATAATCATCACAGGGTAAATGGGGTATCCATTAAATCAATTATGTATCCTTGGTGTTACAAACAATCCAATTATACTCTTATTTACTTTAAATGTACAATTATTTTTTCACTATTATCACCCCGTTGTGCTAGCAAATACTGGCTCTTATTCAGTGTTTCTGTTTTTTTCTACCCATTAACTCTCCCAACTTTCCCACGCCCTCTCACTACCCATATCATCCTCTGGTAACCATCCCTCTACTCTCTATCTCCATGAGTTCAATCGTATTGATTTTTAGCACCCACAAATAATGAGAATATAGTTTGTCTTTTCTGCCTGGCTTATTTCATTGAACATAATGACCTATAATTTTGTTCATATGCTGCAAATGACAGTAACTCATTCTCTTTTATGGCCAAATAGTACTCCATTGTGTATATGTACTATTGTGAATAGTGCTGCCACAAACATGGGAATGCAGATATCTTTTCGATATACTGATTTCCTTTCTTTTCTGTATCTAGCAAGCAACTGGATTGCTGGATCATAGGATAGCTCTATTTTTAGTATTTGGAGGAACCTCCAAACTGTTCTCCATAGCAGCTGTGCTAATTTACATTCCCACCAACAGCATGCAAGTGTTTCCTTTTGTTCACATCCTCACCAGCATTTGTTATTGATACCAAAGCGAGGCAGGGAAGTGCTGGGTAGAGGAGGGCCTGGTCCTTGGCTAGGGCTCCACTCCTAGGCCTGTGCCCATGGACCTAGGTGAGGACAGGCATTTCCGTTTTCCTGCCCAAATGTTGCATTTCCCAAGACCACCTTGGCCTGCCATGCCCCCATCCTGTGCCTGTAAAGCCCCTGAGACCCTAGCAGGCAGACACATAGCAGCTGGACATGGAGAGGAACACATCTACAGAAGATGACACAAGTGGCTGGACATTGAGAGGACGTCAAGGGGAGCATGCCAGCAGAAGAGCACACAACACACACGGGCACGCCCACAGGCTATTGACCAGAAGAATGAGGTGGAGTTTGGCTGGGGCAGTCAGAGGAGAGCCCAGGCTGCCGAGTGGCCTGACTCCAGGGGAAATCCATCTCCCTTCTGGCTCCCCCATCTGCTAAGAGCTACTTCCACTCAATAAAACCTTGCACTCATTCTCCAAGCCCACATGTGATCCGATTCTTTTGGTATACAAAGGCAAGAAGCCCGGGTTACAGCAAGCCCTATGTCCTTGCGACAAGTCAGGGGTCTAATTGAGCTGACTATCACAAGCCACCTACAGAGGCTAAACTAAAAGAGCACCCTGGAACACACACCCACTGCGGCTTCAGCTGTAAACATTCACCCCTAGACACTGCCGTGGGTTTAGAGCCCCACAACCTGCCTGTCTGTATGCTCCCCAAGAGGTTTGAGCAGTGGGGCACCGAAGAAGTGAGCCACACCCCCATTGGGTGCCCTGTGAGGGGGATAAGGAAACTTTTCCCATTTGATTATTGCTGGACTTCTGGATAAAACCTGTTATAACTGGGATGAGAAGCTATCACATTTTAGTTTTTACTTGCAATTCTCTGATCAGTGATGTTGAGTACCTTTTCATATACCTGTTTGCCATATATATACCTTCTTTTGAAAAATGTCTATTCAGATCTTTTGCTCATTTTTAATCAGATTATTAGATTTTTTAATAGATTTTTTCCTGTGGCATTATTATATAGTTATATATCCTTGTGTATTCTGATT